CTGAAGTTTCAAGTTCAATTCATTCATGTGGAATGTGATGTCAACCAAAAATGACAACTTTGCCAGCCAGGAAGTATCTGACAGATATGGATCAGCTCTATCCAGTTAGAAGTTCAGTTATCTCTCAATACATAGACAAAAAATTAAGAAAAAAATACTTGAAAGTTCAATTATCTCTCAATAGATGGAGAACAAATTAAGAAAAAATAATTGGAAGTTCAGTTATTTCTCAATAGATGGAGAAAAATATTTGGAAGTTCAGTTGTCTCTCAATAGATGGAGAAATATATTAAGAAGCTCAGTTATCTATCCATAGATGGAGAAAAAATTAAGAAAAATACTTGAAATTTAAGTTATCTCTCAACAGATGGAGAAAAATTAAGAAAAAATAGTTGGAATTCAGTTATCTCTAAATAGATAGATAAATAAATTAAGAAAGAAATACTTGGAAGTTCAGTTATATCTCAATATATGGAGACTGTACTGAAATATTATTAAGAACCTTTACTTAAAATACAATAGAAGTAAGTACTGTCACTACCTTATATTTGCACAACAAACACGTCCTGATGCTCGTCCAATAACTATCAATTTAAATCCCTTTGTATTCATTTAAGAATGAAAGATGCTTAATTTATGTTTATTGCATAATTTTTTATGGTGGATGCGAAATCGTTCTAATTTTCCGGACCCGAACAGAAACTGATTACTGAAGACAATATATAAAATATAAAATTTTCTCTTAGGAAACGTTTGGTAATTATTTTGACATTATAAATATTTCGCATATGAAAGTTCGAAATTTTCTGATGCACAAAAGTATTTTTAATGTTAAGATGAAAATTACTTTGCCTGACAGATAGGCAAGATGTGAAAAAATTGCCTGCCCAATTTGTATATAAGAGCATTGTTATTATCTTCACCTATTACTCACGATTTTGTGAGAAAATAACAAAAAGGAAAACCACTACTCAGAAGATTTACTTCTACATTTCATAATAGTTTCGCTTACCGTCGCTAGATGGCAGAACATAATGGTTTTTTTTGTGTTAACTACGACAGTTTGGGACTTTTCACTTCCCAATAATGATATCTGACAAACCAATTTCGCTAAAAATAAGTAAATAAATAAAGAATTAATTAAATTAATATTTAATGTATCAAGCACCCGAAGTATATTTGCAAGTGAACGATCTGTATACATATTATTGATGTCTAAGTTTAATAACACCAGTTTCTTGATAATCATATCAACACATTATATAGCAGTCTTCTTTCTTCAAATCTTCAGTGGGGCCGAGCCTGGATCTGTATGTGTATGCGTGG